GTGTGCCCCGCGGGGCGAGGGTCGTTCTCCTCCCCCTCTGCTCTGCCCTGGTGAGACCCCACCTGGAGCACTGTGTCCAGTTCTGGGCTCCCCAGTTCAAAAATTGTGAGAAACTCCTGGAGAGAGTTCAGAGGAGGGCTACAAAGATGGTGAAAGGACGGGAGCATCTCCCCTACGAGGAAAGGCTGAGGGAGCTGGGCTTGTCCAGCCTGGGGAAGAGAAGGCTGAGAGGGGATCTCATCAACACGTACAAATATCTCAAGGGTGGGTGTCACGAGGACGCAGCCAGACTCTTCCCAGTGGTGCCCAGCGCCAGGACAAGGGGCAATGGGCACAACCTGAAGCAGAAGAGGTTCCAGTTGAACGGGAGGAAGAACTTCTTGACTCTGAGAGTGCCCGAGCCCTGGCCCAGGCTGCCCAGGGGGGCTGTGGACTCTCCTTCTCTGGAGATCTTCAACCCCCGCCTGGATGCTGTCCTGTGCCCCCTGCTCTGGGTGAGCCTGCTTGGGCAGGGGGGTGGCACTGGGTGAGCTCCTGAGGGCCCTTCCAACCCCGGCCAGTCTGGGATTCTGGGATACACCTTGGGTGTAATGTTTCTTTCTAATGGAAGAACCAGAGTCAGTTTTGATTCTTCAAAAATTTTATGCAGCGGCTTGAATATAAACGTTGGCATTAACAAAAACAGATCTGCTAGAAGACCCCCAAATCTAACTCACTGTAAGGCCCTCTCTGGTGCTGAGAGGCAGGAAGAGTTCTGAGCTTCGTTTGTGCATCCTGGGAGCTACAAACTCATCCTGAAACTTGGGCCTTGAAGCCTTTGGGCAGAAACTTTCTGATTGTTCGAAAAGGTCGTTATAGAGCCTTGCAAACGCAGGATGCTTCTGTACCTGGGGCAGCAGGGGAGAAGGAGCCAAAGGTAACTATTTCTGAAGTTTGATGATAGCTAAAAAGATTCCCCAGCACCTACTTTTATTTACATCCTTAAATCTTATATCCACCTAATTTCTAAAGCGCGGATGAGTTTGGTTGATAACTGTGCAGGTCCGGAGCAAAGAACGCTTTTGTGCATGCTGGTGCTTTACAGCCAGCTTGCGCAAGTGGCAGCCACTTGGTAAGGCTGAAATAAAATAAGTTATTGGCAGCCCGGTGTGCATGCCAGCCAGGGAGGGTCGCGCGCTTCGATGGAGAGGAACGCGCGTGTTGTCTTCTGCAGAAAAGCGCTTGTGAGGTTGGCGGTGGGTGCACCTTTCCTGAGGAAACAGCTACAGGTGAGCAGCAACGGCTCTTCAGTGGTGCTATGCTGCCCTCAAGTGCTGCTTTTTAGCAATATCCGAATTTTCAAAGCCTGCGCTAAGTTGCACTTTCCAAGTTTTCTGGTTGCGCTCCGGCAGGCCCTTGCAATCACAGCGACACTGGTTTTACCGTTCATGTAGCACAAATCCTGCTTGAAAAGTGGGCTCATTTGAAGTGGCTGAGGAAAACAGTAGGTTCACTCCAGTCGCTCCTCTCACTGGTTAACGTTTGGCATCCTGCGAAGCAAGGAAAACAGCGGTTGGATTCTCACATCTCTCAGACTGGCTACGGATTAACCCCCTCTGCTTGGTGCTGCACTTGCCACTGACTCCACAGTCCCCTTCCTCTTCCCAGTGGCTCAGTGGGAGCAGTATAATATACATGGGGGGATACATATAGATCGAGACCAGCAGCCTGACGGTCCAGGAGCCTTCACAGGACCATCTCGACGTTCCTGCAACGCTGCCTGTTTTAGTGCAGAGCTGTGCCTGCAAATTCATGCCTTTAAATCCTTGAGCCTTTAAATCCTGGTGTAGCACCCATGCGGGAACATAGACGTAAAACCCAACATCCCAATTTTAAATTAAATTGTTAGCCAAGCGTCTGAAACGTGAATCTCTCACAGTTCCTCACTCTTACTGATGGTGCCCGTTTCCCAAGATGAAAGTGCTGCAGTTTGTGTTTTACCAACACTTCCAATGGGTACGTTAGATGGACTGTGGTCTCCAGCACGACTGTGCGATGCTTAGGTCTCACAGAAAGGTGAACAAAGATATTGAAAAAACAACTTAAAGCCCCAAGTAGGGAAGAAGGGTTATTTCTGGGTGCCAGTCTGGGATCACAGGTGGCTCAGGGTCCTTTCTTGTGCCCAGCTTTTTACTAAGCCAAGCCTCTTACTAGCGAAGAGAGAAGTGCCAGCTCTACCCTTTAGATAGAACTTCAAGGTGTTAGTCTGGGGGAGTCAATTTTGTTCTTTCCTCACCAATTCTGTTGTAGCCTCTGGTGCTGGGGTCTGCAGTAAGAGCAGGAGCCAGCCAGCGCAGCCAGCCGGCTGCTCCCTTCCCAGCTGAGCATCCCCCCAGTCCCGGCTGGTAGGGCATGAAGCTGTTCAGAGCAGGAGCGACCTGGGTAACCATGGCCGACATGGACACAGAGAGGATGTCCTGAGTCACTGCCGATATCCCCAGCAAAACAGCACCGACATCTGAGCTGCTTCAACCACTGAGGAAAGAGCCCACAGTGTTGTCTGCATAAACACATCCTGCTCATGAAAGGCAGAGGAAGAGGGGTTAAATAGGTTGGGACTTGTTTTGTCTTTTTTTTTTCCTGCTCCTGATACTGCCCTGGGCTAGACACAGCCTCCTGAGGCTAGAGACCCTTAGCTCTGTCCTGAAACAAGCAGCAGGAGAGAGCCAAGGGGGATTTTCTCCACGCCTTGCCATTGGGAAAAGGATGGCTGTCTTGGCACTGTGGCCTAGGACCAGGAAGAGGGCGGGAGGGATCCTGGGCCACAGGATGAGGCACCACGCTTGGGAGCAAACACATCATCCACTGGTGCCTGACACCGGCCACAGGACTGGAGCCTCCAGCGCAGCCGCCCGCCCGGCCCACAACAGCACCCAGGGCAAGGGCTTGCCACGAGAGCAGGAGCAGGGATGGGACAAGACACAGACTCCTTGGTAAAGATCCCTACATGGGAAGAAGCTGCTCGCTGCCTTTCTGTGCTCTACCCCTCTCCAGGCCGGAGCTGCAGTAGCACATGTTCGCCCCACGCACAGCTTTGCACTAATGAACATGTTGCAGTAGTGATCCCCAGGGCTCAGTTCCCCTCCCCGTGATAAGGACAGCACGCCCGAGGGCTGCCCTATCTCCTGCATGGGCTGTGGGGACAACATGCTTTTCCTGGCCAGCCCTGCGGGGTGAATTCCCCCCTCACCTGCTCCAGTGGTAGGAGGATTGCACACACATCAACAACTGTCTGCTGCCTTGGGGAGGTCACCTTTGGTGGCCCTTGGCTTTTCTCTGCCGGTGTGGAGTGCCTGGAGGCACTGCAGCACATACAGATGGAGAGGGGTCCCCAGCTCCATAGCCTCCCAGTGCTCCCCCTCTGAGGGGGACGTGGAAGGGGTGCTCGAGTGGTATAAATTCCCTTTTACCTGAGAGGGGATGAAGTCAGAGTTGGTAGTTATTAGAAGACCTTTAAGAAGTTCCATTAGAAGACCATTAAGCATTTGCTATTAATGGACTCAAGCTTGTACCAACCACGGATAACCAGCCCCACAATACAGTCACTGACTCCCGAGGGTCACTCACACTCACTTGGGCAGCTACAGCTGGAAGGGTACCCCGCAGCATTGCACTGACACACCAGAGCCCACCAGGAAGGTGCTCATGATGTCCCTCAGAGGGGCTCTTCTCTCATCAGATGCTTGAGGGCACTGAGGGTGTTCAGCCTAGAGAAGAGGAGGCTGAAGGGAGCCCTCATTGCTCCCTACAACTGCCTGAGAGGAGGGGGGAGCCGGGGGGGTCGGGCTCTGCTCCCAGGGGAGGGGGCGATGGGATGAGGGGAAACGGCCTAGGGGAGCGGTTGGGCTGGGGGAGCTCAAAGGTTTTTTCCAACCCAAACAATTCTGTTATTCTATGATTCTATGAATGTTGCAGCCAACCCCAGCACCACAACAGCATCTCCTGGGACAGAGACAAGGCAGGACCTGAACACTGAGCTCCAAGAAACTCTCTGCCAAGGCCTGGCAGCTACCGGGACTTCCCCCTGCTGCCTGCCGGGCCAGGGAGGGGAATGGCCCCCGCACAGCCCAGGCTGGGCGCTGCGCTGATCCCCGGACCTTTGCAACGGGAATTACCACGGACACACGCG